ACCCCTCTCAAAATCCCCAATGTTTTGGGTTTTTTTTTTTTTTGGCAAAAATTGACAAACTGGTCCTGAACCGCATGTGGAAACCCAAGGAATCCACAACAGGCAAATCCATAGGGAAAGAAAGTGGTTGAAAAGGAGAGGAAGCAGCAGGGGTGGGGAGGGACTGTTAATGGGAACAGTGTCTCTCTCAAGGGTGTTGAAAAGGCCCTAAAACTGGCTGCACAACTCTAAATATCTGGGAGACACCAGGGTGGGTCCTCGCGCCTGAGTCTTTCCAGAGCCGCTCCCCCTCGGCTGGGCAAGGGCTCACCTTCTATGTTCCTCTCGTTGACCTTGACTTCATACGCAATGAGCTCTGAAAAGGGAACAAAAGGGGATCCTTCCTTCTCCTGCTTTTTCTAATGTAAACCTGGCCCAGAAGTAAGGTCAGAGGAGTGGAGGGGGCTTGTGAATGAGGTGTGACTATTCCAGAAGCCTGGGGCCTCAGACACTGCCAGGTCTGGGGCTGACCTCCTAAGGGAAGACACCTCACCTCTGCTGGGCCCTGGGGAAGCGGGGGATGACAGCTCTGAAGGCTCACTGGAGCCCAGCAGGATGATGTCCGTGTGGTGCTCTGCCTCTGGCTCCAGGACTGGGGCCACATGGGCAAACGGGACGCATACAAACAGAGGGGGAAAATGGCCTGTCGGCTGCTGCCTGGGAGCCCCTGGCCCCAGCTGAGGCCCCGCCCGCCTCCTTTGGTGACACCTTTCCCTCTGGACCCAGGGGCCAGGAGGACCTATGGTGAGCGCCGATCTGGACCCGGGGCTCAGTGTGTTCCCCGTGGCGTCCCTCCCTGCCCAGGCCCCTGCCACAGTGGTGGGCTAGGTGGGTTTCCCCCCACAAAGGGGAGGACAGGAGGCCTTGGGAGCGGTGGGGGATGGAGGCCCCCCCGTGGGTCCCTTGGACACCCCCATGCTCTCTCCTCCCACCGTGTCCCCCAGACCACAGCTGGTGGTCTCCCCGGAGGCCACCCCGCATGAGGCTGGGAGGAGCAGAGAGGGCTTACAGGAGCTCCCCTCTGGCGGGTCAGGGTCTGAGCCGTCCAGGGTCTCCACGCTCAGGATCCCTTGCGGGGACAGGGCCATGAACGCAGGGAAAGGGGCTCCCCAGAGAGCAGCAGGAGACAGGTGGGGTGGAAGGACTGGGGGCCACAGGTACAGGATCTGCAGAGGAGCACTGTCGGGGGAAGCGGGGGGGCGAGCAAGGTTGCCACGTGACGTGCGGGGGCGAGGAGGCGCGGAGGAGGGGCGAGAAAGCCCTCATTGTCAGGGGGTGAAGGGTGCGGGCTCATGGGGGGGCAGGGGGGTTGTTCCTGATGGATGGGGGTTGGGGGCCCAGTGAGGGAGGGTGGGGGGAGGGACTCAGGGGCGGGGTCTAGAGGGCTTGGTGCTCCCGGGCTGGGGTGGAGGCAGGGCTCCAGCAGGAGGAAGCAGGACAGGCAAAGCTCAGGGGGAGGAAGATCTGTGGAGGCTAGGTAGCCCGTGGGGGGAGTGGTGTCCAGAGTAGGGGTGAGGAAAAAGGAGGCAGAGGGCATTTACTGCAGGTGGGACAGGCCCGGGGACACCCGATGGGTGGCCGTGGTTGGAGGGGCCCTTCTGGGGATTGCGCAGGGGCTGTGCCCAGAGGCAGGGGACCACCTGGCAGCGGCTGCCCCTCAGGACGGTTATGGTGCTGGGCAGAAGTTGGGGAAACACCTGGGGAGGGGGCATAACTCCCTTTCTCCCAGTTTGGGTGTGGGCCTGGTGACGTCTTCCCGTGAAAAGTTGCAGAATCGGGGGGTGGGGTGTAATTCTGCAAGGCTCTGCCGGGTGCCCAGGGTTGACTTCAACAGTGACGGCCTGCCTTGACTGCATGTCCCCTGGACACGACGTGACCTCCGTGGCCTTCCTGCCAACAGCCCATGACCCCTACCTCTACCCATGAGAAAATCACCAGAAGATTCCAGTTGAGGGACACCCTACAGAATACCTGCCCACGGGGGCGCCTGGGGGGCTCTGTCAGTTAAGCGTCCCATTCGTGATTTCAGCTCAGGTCATGATCTCACAGTTTGTGAGTCTGAGCCCCACATGGGGCTCTGCTGATGGTGTAGAGCCTGCTTGGGATTCTCTCTCTCTCTGTGTCTCTCAAAATAAATAAACTTAAAAAAAAAGAAAATTATGTATTAAAAAAATGCCTGTCTAGAAGTTCTGAAAACTGTCATAGTCATCAAAAGCAAAGAAAGTCCAAAACACCATCACGGCCGAGAGGAGCCTCAGGGGACCTGATGGGGAAATGTCACGTGGGATCTCAGGACAGAGAAGGGAATTGGGGGAAAACTAAGAAAATGGGACTAAACTGTGGTGTATTCGTTTAGTTAATACTGTATCAGTATTGGCTCATTAATCGTAACCAAGCTGTTGCACGAACACGAACACAAGGAGTTAATGTGGAAGCTCTGGGGTTTATGGGAATTGTGTATCACTAGCTACGAATTTTCTGTAAATATAAAACTGTTCTAAAATTATTACTTTTCTTTTTTGCAATATAGTGTCATTAACTATAGCCGTCATTTTGCGTGTTACGTTCCCATGACTTGCTTACTTTGTAAGTTTGTGCCTTTTGACAACCTTTAACCTGTTCTCTGTATCTACGTGCTCAGGGTGTGTGTGTGTGTGTGTGTGTGTGTGTGTGTGTGTGTGTGTATTTCAGATTCCACATAGAGAAGAAAGATCGTATGGTATTTGTCTTTCTCTGTCTTGTTTCAGTGAGCGTAACGTCCTCAAGGTCCATCCACATTGCTGCAAATGGCAAGATTTCCTTCTTTTTTACGGTGAGTAATATTCCACGGTGCATCTACATAATGTTTTCTCTATCCATTCATCCATCGCTGGGCACTTAGGGTATTTCCATGTCTTGGCTGTTACAACTAAAGCTGCGGTGAGGACGGGGGTGGGGACGGTGCAGATACCTTTTCGAATTTTCGTTTTCTTTGGATACATCTCCAGAAGTGGGACTGCTGGCTCATAGGGTTCTATCTTTAACTTTTTGAGGAACCTCCACACTGTTCTCCACAGCGGCTGCACCAGTTTGCGTTCCCATCAGAAGTGCACAAGGGTTCCCTTTTCTCCACATCCTCACCGACACCTACGTCTCTTGTCTTTTTGATTCCAGCCATTCTGAAGACGTAGGGTGATCTCGTTGTGGTTTTGGTTTGCGTTTCCCTGATGAGTGATGTTGAGCATCTTTTTATGTACCTGTGGGACATCTGTAGGTTTTCGCTGAAAAAAGATGTACTGTTCAGATCTGCTGCCCGTTTTAAAAATAAGATTGTTTTATTGCTATTGAATTATATGCGTTCCTTATGTATTTGGAAGATTAACACCTTATCGACACGGAATTCACAAATGTGGAGTTTTATGGTTTCAGGTCTTAACGTTGAGTCTTTTAAAAGATATTTTTTAACTTTTTTAAATGTTTATTTATTTTGAGAGAGAAAGACAGAGCATGAGCAGGGGAGGGGCAGACACAGAATCAGAAGCAGGCTCCAGGCTCCAAGCTGTCAGCACACAGCCCGACACGGGGCTCGAACCCACGAACCGTGAGATCATGACCTGAGCAAGCCGGATGCTTAACCAACTGAGCCACCCAGGCGCCCACATTCAAGTCTTTAATCCATTTTGACTTGATTTTTGTGGGTATAAGATAGGGGGCCGGTTTCATTCTTCTGCATGTGGAAGCCGGGTTTTCCCAGCACCGCTGATTGAAGACCGTCCCTTCCCCAGCGTGGATTCTTGGCTCCTTTGTCGTAAGCTAATTGGCCATGTATGCGTGGCTTTATTTCTGCGTTCTCTTTTCTGTGTCTGTCTACTGATCTGTGTTTGTTTTTAGGCCGATATCAAGCTGTTTTAACGACCACGGCTCTGTGATATAGTTTAAAATCAAGACGGGTGATGCCTCCAGCTTTGTTCTTCAAGATTGCTTTGGCTGTTTGGGGTCCTTTGTGGTTCCATACACATTTTAGATCATTTCCTCTATTTCTGTGAAAGAGGCCGTCGGAGTTTTGCTAGAGATTACTTTGAGCCTGTAGGTTGCTTTGGGCAATACAGACATTATAACTTACATAGTTCTAAGTTTTTTAAATGGAAATTGTCTTTGTTGCTTTTTCCTCCTTTTATTTAGCGTAGTTTCGTTTTTTAACAGAGATGCCGGAGTGAAAATCATCACAGGGCCAGGAGCAGTTACCGCCTGGCCCAGGATCGCACCTGAACCCCTGACCCGTCCACACTGTTCCTGCTCCCAGAAGGGGCTGGGGGCTCCATGGAGGGACGGTGTGCTCACTGTTGGGCCCAGCCAGCAGGAGGAGCACCCTGGCGGGCAGGAGCAGTGGTGAGGCAGAGGCTCACGGAAGGTTCTGCCCAGGGCGGGAGGACAAGGTGGGAAGATGTGGCCCGGGATGCCCCCACAGCAGGTGCCTTCCTGTCAGTCTTGGGGTCCCCGTGTGCCCCGTGGTGGCTGTCTGGAGCGGGGAACAGAGAGAGGACACCCTGCTGGAATGGAAACAGGCCTCAGAGGTGCTGGCCTCTTGGTGACCGGCTCAGTCCCTAAGGCTGCCACCAAGATCAGACCCTGAGGTGCACAGGCTCACTCTGCTGGCCACGGGTGCCAGGCCTGGGTGGACCTCCGGACACCTGTTCTCACCCAGGGAAACCCCAGGAAGCCTAGGATCCCACATATGGAAGGTTCCACGTGGGAGCAAAGGGCAGGACCTAACACAGGCCTTCTCCGGCTCCACGGGAATTACTCGCTGAGCCCGAACCTCTCCAGCCCCGGCCGTGCACCCAGCATCCTCTGTGCCCCGTGAGGGGTGGTTCTGAAGCTTCCCGGGTGAGCCCCAGCCCCGCCCAACCCAGACCAGGCCGCCTGCTACCCCTGCCTTTCCATGGCCAGGGCACCCACAGCTTTGGTGCCCACTGACACTCTTGTTGGGAGCCCCTCCACCCTCCGAGCCACAGGGGCTATGGGATTAGGCCCCGCTTGGCCGGATGGTGACTCTCAGATGGCCGCTGATGCCCTCTTCCGGCCTGGCAGGGTCACCCGCCGCTTGATCCTCAGTGGGTTCAGATGCTTTGGGGCCTGGGGGCCTCCAGCAGACTCCAGGTGGCCCCCGGCCCAGCTGGGTCTGGGGGTGGATCCCACCCCGGTTCCAGGGCGCCGACCAGGTTTGACACTTGGATCCTGGCAACGGTGAGAGACGCCCCCACCCCACACCAGCCTTCACGCTGTCCTGTGTTTCTGCGGTGGCCTGGGGAGTAGCAGGAGGGGCTCGGGGCCCCACGCCAGGCAACCGGAGGGGAACCTCGGGCGAATGAAGCCGAGAGAGGGGGGCCTGGCATGAGACTCACCTGATTTGCCTGTTGGCCGGGGAGGGGGGGGGAGGGAGGGGGGCAGGTGGCGGCAGGAGTCCCCTGAAGCAGCGTCTGGGAAGCAACAGGGTGTGAGTGTCCAACTTTTTCTCCAGATGTCAGTGGGGAACTCCTGGCTGTCTGCAGGTCGTTCAGAAGGAGGGGACACAGAAACGGCCCCTGGGTACTTCACACCTCCCTAGACGGCAAGCGGGGTTGGGGGGCGGGGGAGAGGCTGAGCCCAGTCACTACCGGACGCTCTGGAGCTGATTTCCCGGAGCTCTGTGAACACAATTTCACATGTAGTGCTTTTAAACGCACTGTGAGGGGAACATTCTCTGCTAAGTACGTTTGGGCAGATGGAGGGCTTGGCACGTCTCCCGCAGGACTTCTCAGAGACTTTATACATTGCAGGGAGTCACGAATCCCCAAGCAGAGGACAGGCACAAGCATGTCCTGGGCCAATCTGGCCACTAGACCTTGTTCCCAAGGCTCCGTGTGACCGTATTTCCGCAAGCCGGGAGAAGCTGCTGGCCGCTGGCCCCAGGCTGGGCACGGCGGCCACAGGGACGAACAACTGTGGGTTCAGAGCTTCAGTGACGGATGCGCGTAGGGGAGAGAAGGCGGCCCGGACAACTTAGAGCTGGCCGGGCCCCGTGGGCTCCTGCTGCACACCGACGACCCCAGACAAGGCCACTCTGTGA